GTATAGTATATACGAACACAAAGATATAAAACAGACTTTCGAAATAGATAACTGAAATGATATAGTTTCAAGTTTTTGTGTAATAGACAAAACGGTGGAAGCAATAACCTTAAAAAAATATTCGGTTCCAAAAGACTTAACCTTGATAAAACAGTGAAAATTTGTGCCAAAAACTCGTCAGCGCGACACACAATGCCGCAGCTGCAGCATATGTGTATAAAATATTGTTATTGACTGGCGAAAGGTGGTGTCTCTGTACATATATAATACTAATAATATTAATAAATAAAAATATTATAATATCGTGCCCGCGGCGTAAGACCTTCGCACCTACTGTTTCGTGTCCATCGTTGCGTGTGCGTTTATATACATTGCATCTATATACACGCACATGCCAGTCTCTCTTAAAATCATTTTAATGATATTATTTGTGTGACGGGAAAAGAGGAGGGTTGTTGAACCAAATACGTCGAGTATAGTGCGAGATCGTTTAAATTAATAATCAATCGGTACCTATATGTATACCTGCACTTTATCTGTAAGTAATGTATTACTTTTCTTTAAATGTAATTCAGTGTAAGAGATAACACAAGTATTTGTATTTAATACTCGCGGTATTACACTAGGTGTGCGTGGGTGGTTTTTTCTTTTGTTTATTAAAATTTTGTTTTACAATTGTTTATGACAGTTCAAATATTAGATTAAAACTTCAAATATAAAAATATTAATTTGGAAAATATACACTATATAATACATAGAAATAAAAATTAAATGATAAAGACTGTATGATAAGGTATTATGCATATAATGCACACGTTTTTTTGTTAGTTAGAGAATTTATTTTGAATATTGAAAAAGTTGTTGGAAGATTTGAAAGGGATAATAGGAGGTCATGTTGCTACAATCTATACAAGTATATGTATCGGATAGTGGGTGGTTACATAGATTAAAAGGTGTTTTTTATTTTATTTTCAGACCACAGCGTACTTCTCAGTAGTTTATTTAATTAATTGTAGTTTTCTATTATACGACTTTTAGACTATAAAAACCATTTTTTTTTTTTAAATTTAATATTTGAAAAATAAAATATTTTTCTTAGAATTTTGATGAATAAACCTCATATAACCTTCGATCTATTAATAGTTGATATTTTATGAGCATTTAAAGTCGAAATGAGCCTAAAATTGAATGCCGCAGACAAGTGGGGACATTACGCACATTTTTGTCGCTCCACTCTTTTCGCCTTAATTAAGTAAATACTTTACTAAAGTAATTATTACATTTTATAAATAATCGGAAATCGAATTTACTTTTAAATCTAAAAAAGAAACTAATAGAAAAAAAACACCATGTACTCATATTATAAATCCGGATGTATCCGTACCGAATAATGATGGGTTCTTTCTCAGACGGCCGAGAAGACTGATCCGCGGGACGGATCTAGAGAGAGAAATTCAAAAGGATATTAGACTTGCGTAATATAATTATGGAAATGACGGTGGCGAACGCGGAATTCTCATGGCCATTCCGTTACATATTTTCAGTTTATTATCACTAACGTGCATTATTTCTATGGCCGTCATGATATAATATTGTGTGAACTTGGGCGGCAGTGTTGTTCACGGACCTCAGAGCATAAGTCGCGCGGTGCGCAGTCCGTTGACATAATACCCGGACACGAGTCATGTGTATGAGCAATGGGTATTTCTTTCTTTTCTATTCGTATTCGTCCACACGACAACGACCCGGGCGTGCACTATTATTATTTATTATTTATCATTTATTAATTATTATTACTTCAACGCTGGTCCGAGACGTGCATAACCGCCGATGGATCACGTGTTTCGATTATTATTGGGAAGATGCCTGCCTAACGTACTTATATTATGTTGTCGCTGTCAAACACGCGTGAATATCTATAAACTGTACAACGAAATCGCTGTTTTTAATTTTGTATACGAACCGATGAAATCATATAACCGTGACCTATTATAAAAATTACTTGGGAAGTGTTAATCTATTATACTCTATCGAGGCTTTTTTCGTTGGTTAAATTATTATAAAATCTATAACAATAACTGACTTATTGTTAAATTCAATTAATTTTAATCCACTGTATACCATTATTTCACGATATTTTAAAATCAGCATCTTTTCATAAAAAAAAAACTTAAAAAATCACATGGAACGAAGTTAGTCCTGTATATGAAGTTGTTCACAAAAAATATTTCAATCAAAGTTTTTATTATTGATTACATATACCCATGTAGTATATAAGTGTATTACATTTTTAATTGTGTCACCATTTTTTAAAAATTTTGTGTTACTATTTTTTATAATATTTCAGTTTTAAATGACTTAAAAAAAATGCTCATAATTTGTTCAAAAATTTATAATATCGTAAAAGACTGTCGTTTATACATATGATATTCTTAACTTCAAGTTTAATTATAGTAGGTATACTCATTTCTATAAACGTCTTCTTAAACTAGAAACATTGAGGTGCAAACATTTCAAAATGTAGACGATGGCAAGGAAGTTTGGACGATGTTCGTACAAATTAAAATTGCAGACTTTCTGTTGCCTACAAAAATGATATCATAATAATGTAATAATATATATTATTATTTATTTATTATATTGGTCATATTCTAGACTGTATAAGGAGTAAAAATTAAAATTGATTGTGCAACGGCCTGTAACGCGTTTTATTGATACAGTTTGTCTTATTATTTTTAAACGGATCTACTACATGTCTATATGCTTAATAATATACCTAAATTTTATTATTTTATATATATATATATATATATATATTGTTACATAAATAACGACGGAGTAGATTGTGATTGATTGACGTGTGAGTGATTCCGAGTATGGTTAAATGTTATCCGGTCGTCGTCGTTATCGCCGTTATCGGAGACGATTTTTTCCTAGTTCTATGCAATAAGTTTTCTGACTGATTGCTATTCCTTGAAAAAAAATCAGTATTATAGAGAGGTTCTCTTTCTAATTTTTTGCACGTTACCTCAATCGTGTCGACCGCAATAATAATAAATATACAATTTACGCGTTAGGTTAGATATACATTTTTGAAATTTTACTCATGAAAATATTTAAAATTGTATTTTTATGATATATTATTTGATGTTAACGCAAATGATAAGAATTGTTGTTTTTGGTAGAAAATATAGTAAGAATATACTTAATATGACAGGACCATGTAATATTTTACCATAGATTTAGGGGTTTATAATAAAATTAAGTGTATATTAAGTATTATAAAGTATTATAATATAAATAATAATTATAAATAATTTGTATTTGTAGGTCAATAACTACAGTTGGGTGGTATTTGTTTGATTAATTTTTTAATCAATTAAGGCCATTTTTGCTTAAAGTTTTAATGTATTTTCGTATGGGTATTCATTTGCATTTCATTTAATTTCCCTATATCAACATCGAACATTTAATTACATAAATTTAATTTTAATCACAGAATAAAAGTTTGTGTAATGTTGGCTTTTTTTGAGCATTTAGAGAGGTTTTTGCACGAAATGCCGATCGTATCTGGAAATTTCATATCAAATTCTGATCTTTCGAAATTACATATAGCGAGTCTTGCGTTAGCCACCATATTAAAGGTGTAGTGTTATTATATATATTATATGGGTTGATGATTTATACGAAAAATGTTTATGTATATATTATGTACATAACCAAATAACTTTTTTCGTTGTTAACGTGTTATAAAGTTCTTCTCTTTATAATCATGTTTTAAGGGTGTCTTGAACAATGTACGAGTCCATTTCTTACTTATACTTAATGTGTTTGTTTATTTATTTATATTATATATAAGAAGGTATACGTATGCGTCCCGAGATAAAACAATGTGTTCTTGAAAATGTCTGTGTTGTATGATATATTATATATATATATATATATATATACCTAATATATATTTGACTCCGTGGCTATGTTCTTTTAACCATATGGTCTCCGGTCCTTAATTACGTCTTGGAGACAATGTATGTACGATAGATCGTGTTAACAACACCGCTCGCCGGCGATTGTTCGATGATAATAAAACAATGATCGTTTTGACCGAAAATTGTGTTTCAAGAGCTCTTTGAGTACTTTGTGAACAGAACGTTATATACTATTACTCTGAGTCTCAATTTACTTCACGCCATGTCTTTTCATATATAATATTTATATTGTTACCATATAATGAACAGTGTATAAAATGAGGAATAAAAGTAATAAATGATTACTTTCTGACGCTTATTATTAAACTATAATAATTATTGTGCTATGCGTATATTGTGTACATACTCGTGCTTCAAAAATAATAATTATTATGGTAGAACGTTTATAAAACCAAACAAAACAAAAATATTACATAAATCTGTGTAAACCAATAGATTTTACGTGCTTTATCCACGATCCAAATAAATTAATTCGACAAACATATTAATTATGGTATCTCATAATTAAACTAATAACACACGGTACAGGGGTGTCACATTTTTTTTCTGGACATTCAGTGCGAAATTCAATCAATCAAATTTATTGAAGCTGTTTAAAATTGGATTTTAAATGAATTGTTTTTTGCAATTATTATCCACTATATAGGAAGTTTATAATGTAATCTGATTTTTTTATAATAATCATATATCTAAGTGATTGTTTTTTTATATTTTAAAAACATTTTATACTTATTTCTGTCTGCAGGTTTAATCTATCAAGTTCCTTTAGATTTTCGAATTGCGTTCTAAATTAAAATTTATTTATTTTTTATTCTTTAAATGTTGATTTACCGAAACAATTTACACACACCGCACGCGTATTATGAAAGGAGGGGGGAGGGAGTCTAAACACCACTGTGGTATATTGACAGTACTAGCTAATGGTATTATAATATATGGTGTCCCTATACTTAACTACCTATATAGTTAATATATCAATAATGTAATATAAAAATATTTTTGTGCCCACAGGCATCTGTGATTATATGGAGGAATTGCAGAGACGACGTCCGGTCGGTTAGGTTAGGAGGCATGACCGGATCGTTGCGTCTGAGCGCTCTGCTGTTGCTGTTGCTGTCCCGCTGGGCGTCCGCGGACCTCGAGAAGGGCGAGGACGAATACGTCCGCAGCTGGGTCATCATCGAGGAACAGTTGGTGCCGCCGTCGAGAGACGAACTGTTGGCCACCGGCAACGTGGGCGCCGCCGGCGGTGGCGTCGGCGGTAGTGTGGCCGGTCGGCGGATCACGCCAAAGTCGGTGTTTGTCGCGCCGTCGTTCAACAAGTGTTCAGACGGTTACCGGCCCGACAGCATGGGACGATGCGTCAAGGTGGTAAAGATCAACCAGGCTGCCCAGTGGGACTTTTTGATCAAGCAGCTGAACTCCATGTACGGCGCCGGTACAGGTGGCGGTGGATTTCCCATGTTGCCGGGCGCCTCGGCGTACCAGCCGGCCACCACCACGACTACCGAGCCGCCGTCGATGAAGACCGATAGCCCTGGACCGTTTCAATTGAACATACCACTGGGCGGCGGCGGCGGGGTCGGCGACGCAGACAACCAGACGATGGACCCTGCGGATGAACTCATCGCCGGCACTACCACCGCGGCCAGCAGCACCACTACGACCAATCCAACTACCACTACCGCTGCTGCTGCCACTACCACCGCTGCTGCCACTGCCACTACTACTACCGTCACCTCCACGACTGTCGACGATGACGCCGATGATGTCGCCATCACCGACCATTCCGTTACGACTACGGTTGACGCCGACCCCGACGACCGCACTACTGCGACTGTTACCGCGACCGCTGTCACGGCGGATGCAGTGGATACCGCCAGACCACGACCATACCGTAACCGTTACCAGACGACGCATGCAGAGGACGCCATCACTGTCACTCCGCCTTCTGACGACTCGACTACCACCGTGACGTACGCTAAAACAAAGTAAGTCCAACAGTTCTCTTTTGTACCTAATACGTACACTTTTGTAGCTTTAATTTTTAAATCTATTTTTTCTGTGATCCTAGTAGTAGTATGACTTTTTATAGTTATTAGTATTAATTATATCTTAATATTAATAACTGGATATAGAATATGCAAAGAGAAATCTATTTACGGCTTCTAAGTCTTAAAATCTGATAATTTTATTATTAAAACATAGACGAAATTTTGATAACATAAAAAAAAAATTAATAACTTTTATTAATACCCATAGCTGTTGCATGAACCACCAGTCTTCGCTTATAGTTTGAAGCTTAGGCGATGATATCGTAGCTTATCATAGATTCATAGAAATAGTATTATATTATATCGATGTAGACGATGCAGTATAAGAAATCTTATGACAAATCAATAATAATGATAAATAAAAAATAAAAAAATAATTGACAATTAATGAAATTCACCTCTATAGTATGAATATTTGGACAACAAAAAATTACGACACAACTATATTATATAATTTATAATTTTTTATTTTTAATATTATCATTATACTATTCTATATTTTATCTACTATACCAATTTATATTTTATAACAATTATGAAAATGGTATATTAGTCAAAAATCACCAAAATGTTAGGTATGACACAAAGGTAGGTACAACGTGTTATATCGTGAACGTTACAAAAATTGAACATATGTATTATAGCCTTATTCATATTTTTTACATGGTAAAATTATATTAGGTATGATTTATTAATTAAAAAATGTAGGTAATTCAACTAATTAAATTGGTATGTTCGGATCGCGCGTCCGATTAATTTTTTTTTTTATGACGAATTTTGTTCTGCACGTAAATACTTAAAATTGTAAGCAAATCTCTTAACTATTTTTTTGTGAAAGTAAATATGCCTAATATAATATTCAGTTACTCATCTCAATCACGGCCTAGTGGCTATATAAATATCTAATGTAAAAAATGTAAATGATTCTCGTTCCTGCGTTTATAAAACGTTTTTTAATCTCACGTCGATTGAAATAGAAAACAAAACTTTATAGTTAAAACATAATAAATTCTTATTTAGTATTCGATTAAACGTAACGTCGAAAATAATAATTTAATGTACAATTTTTGTACATCATGAAGAAATATTTTAATTTAAATTTCTCTCGTTTCGTTATCAATGCAGTGAAGCTGTCACGTTAACGAGCAGCTTAACATATATAAACGACTGTTCCGCATTTAGCATAATATTTACATATCTATATGGTAAAAAAACTTGAAGATTTGTGTCATATATTGTACACCTATTAGTGATTTTGAAATCTTCAGTGTGGTCTGCAAAACTAGTTTTCGTACATACATTACACAGGATGAACCAACGTGTTTTCCAGCTTTTACTGGAAAATTATAAATTATGATACCCTACTCTATAATATGCAAATAAAAGTAAAACATGTATATCGGGGGTTATAGTAAAACAGGTAGTTTTAGTTTCAATTAGTCTTGACGTAAAATTAGATTATTAAACAATCTATAAGGAGTTATAAACTTATGTTTATGTATAATGTATTTGTCATGTATTGTTTTCGTTAGCCTTAGTATTATCAAATTAAAGCATAATACTCTGAATTTTACTTCTATGAGGGTATAATAATTATTAATTATACAGTTGATTGGTATAATCGTATATATATATGTTGTGTAACTTTGATTTCAATCATCATAGTTGTGATTCAGTTAAAAATATTTCCGCATTGACTTAAATATATAGTATATGTCATTATTCATTTCTTTCATTTTCAATAGTTATTTTTAAATTTATAGTAAATAATATTGTTTGTGGCCCTTTAATAACTGCGCGGTTAAAAATGAAAAGGAAAAAAGATAGACCACATATTTATTTTGTTTATTTGAAGAAAAAAATTGTAATCTGTATTTCTTTAACACAATAAGTACATTTTATAGTGTATTACTATAGTTTATTAACAATAAACATAAAAAATAACACATGTACACATGATGAGAGAAGTCATGTAGTGATGAAATTATTCAAACACATATATATATTTTATTTTAAGAATATTAATATCTATACTAAAAGTTACATACTTAACTATCAAAATCTATGCCGTCTTTGCGTGCTCTAAAGTATAGGCAATCCCAAAATTGTTCATATTTCAGTCTTTCAATTGTCCACACTAACATTATTTAACATATTATATTCACACGTAATTAATTCAATCATCTTTTTCTGTTAACTACAGGTACGCAGACAGCAGTAAAACTACCATCGCCGGGACGGAAGACTCGACTCATCAGACCTTCAAGACGACTGCTAGTGCGTCACTCTCATCTTCGTTTTCGTCCCCCGTAGTTACCACTACCGCGGTTGACGTGACAGAGACTGAAAATCCGGTGACGGCCGCCACTCCGCTAGAAACCGAAGAAGAGGACGTAGTGACGGTGTTGGCTGTGGCTGCCGCCGCAGTTGACGGTGACAACGGTAGTGGTAGACCGGTTAGTACCACACAGTTGCCGCACACAACGGGTGGAAGGACTCAATCATCGGTCACGGACACGGTCACACCCGAGTACTACGATGATCAACCGGAAGAGCCAACGTCGTCACCGGAACCGGATTGTTCGGCTCCGAACGCATATCGGTATTACGCGGCATGCGCGGGTTTCCGGCAGCAGCAATTTGAACAATTTCAACAGCAGCAGCAGTTGCTCCAACAACACCAGCAGCAGCAACAGCTGTATCAGCAACAGCAGCAACAATTCTATTACCAACAACAACAACAGCACAACCACATGGCCACCGAGTTAGTTAAGCGTCCGGCCGCCGGCGGGGGCGTGCAAGTGCGGTTCCCGGGAGACGAAGACCCAGTTTCGGCGACAGCGGCGGACAGTGCAAACCTGATCAGGTTTCCCGGACCAGCCCCGTATAGGACCACCAATAAGATGTACGAAAGCAGCAGACATCCCACGTGGTGGCCAACGGGATGGTCGGATCATCAGCAACAACAGCAGCAGCAGCAGCAGTACCCCGACGACTCGGTGCAGCAGCAACACCGGCTACAGCATCACCTGCCGCAGCAGAAACAGGATGTCCGGCTCTGGGAATTCGGGTCCAGACTTCCAAAAACCACGTCGACCACGACGGTTGTCCCAGCACCCCCGGCACAGTGGTACCACAGGTTTTTCTGAACAAGTATACCTACGCGACCGTACCTTTCCGATCATCATAATACTTATTTTATTATTATTATTATTATTTTCATTTTACGCTAAATATCATATAATTATTCACCCCCCCCCCCCCCACGCCGTTCAATTCATATATTTTTATCTTTTTTTTTAAAAATAAGGTTTTACTCAGTATTTCGCCACTAGTTTATTCATTAGTTAATACTTATTATTATTATTATTATTAGTATTGTATTTTTGTTGCCATATTAACGTCCGTAGAATAATATTAGATATTCGTGTTTTATATTTTATTTTAGTCACATGGGTTGTTTATAGTTTCAGCTTCAACTACGAAAATAATTATAACCGTAGTAGTAGCAAGTATAGCGTATAAAAATCCTATAAACATATTCGTGTGTATATATATATATTTGTATTTTACACAGCATATATACATATATACGCACACATATATATATTAATATAAATATATATATATATATATAATCAATATTACGATTTAAGGGTAACAGAATAAAATTGCCACGCTTTAATATAATAATTATAATATATCCGATTGCTATATATTTTAACGTTTTGTCATAAGACCAATAACATATTAACCTTACTATGATTATTGTTTACTTATTGTTTGTTTGTTTTTATATATATATATTTATATTATATAATATAAATTATAATATAATAATTTAATGTAAATAATCTTTAAGCGTGTTCCTATTATAAGATCACGGCCTCTAGTTGTGCGAATAGCTGCTGCCGCTCGATGTATTAGTATGTAAATAATCAGTATCACAAAAATGTACAGTACGCAAATGCAATACAGTGTAATATAATACTTACATACAGTTCATATTACTATTACCATATATAATAATTTAATAATGTTATTTCAATATCGACGAATGAATCACGCGCTATGGCATAGTACAATTATTAACGTCAGTCATGATAATTCCGCCTACGCATTATGTTTTTATAATACTCTACATAAAGATCGAACGAACTATATTATTATAATAATTATTATTGCTGTATTGAATTTATTATACGAAACACAAACTTTATTTTATAGCGTTTTAAAAATCAAGTAACCTGCACCTTCGCAGATGTGCTCGCAACTCCGCCGCAAGCTCAGTGCTATTATTATTATACATAATTATAATATTTTTATATTATACACCAACTTGAAATATTTTTTAATTGATTTTTTTGTTTTTACTCACGTTTGTATGAATTATTTTTTTTTTAATATTTTACAATAAAAACTAATGTTTCAATAGTTTTGAAAAAATTATGAGCATATATTGGATTTATATTTTATTACAGTTTAATAATAATGGTTATATGATATCAAGAAAAATAATATTATTATGTAATGTCTCGTTATTGTGTGTATTTTTACGTTTGGATTTATAAAGGAATAATAATAAAATGTTTGTGTTTATATTACGAATAGTTTTATTTCGTTTCAACTACCACTTCCTGTTCCGTTGGTCAAAATATAATGTGTTTGACTTGAAAAATTCCTTCCTATGTCCTTCTGCACTGTCTTTGTGGACATTATTAGATGTATTATTATATTGTTTTATTATGCAGTCGGATGAACGTAAACGGCTTGCAAGGGGTAACGCATAGGCAATGACAAATACTTTATGACGAGCTTATAATTTACTATTGTCCTGAGCAATGCAAATATTTGGATAAGTGAAAAAAAACCCATTACTGAAATAATATCAACACCACGATTTTCTACTGTGCTCGATGGGGTCAACCTGACCGCGTTTCGGACGACACGTCAAAAAATATAATAATAGGTGTCTATTATCAAATATTTATTCGTGGATAACGGCAGTTGTACAGACCAACGCATCTATGCCAGTGCACATGGAACTGACTTGGACCGAACACTATTGCATAGGCGTTTGTTACACGAATCCAGCGAATTAGATTTCGAGGCTAAACCAGGTAATTACTTTCGTGATAATATTTCGATCGACTTACACACTTAGAAAAATACAATTTTTTTACAGCCGTCAATATCATTAAATTTACTCATTAAGAAAAATGTACTCATTAAGAATTAATTTTTTATACTTTGATATTCTGGTACGATTTGATAAACATTCTCCCTCTCTTCAAAATTTGACTAAGTTTTTTCGTCAGTGCTTGTATGGGACACAAACAATCAAATTTTTGAGATTGAAAAAAGTGATTCCTGAGTTCAAGTACAAGGTGATTCAGATAAGACTATAGCAAATAACTCACCCGTAGTAGTTGTATACTAGTAGTTATCTATACTAAAGGTTGTGCCAGTTAATAAAAGCTCATTAAGTTAATTAAAAAAACTTAAAGTTTAATTTAAAATTAAAGTAAATTTAAAAAAAAAAAACTAACTGAATTTATGCCAAAATCACAACAAAATTTTATAAAAATAAATTCTTACACAAAAATAAAATAATACAAGTATATATTATATACAAGAATATTTACAAAAAAATAAATAGAAAGGAAGGCCATCTACCGATAGAACCCCATTATATATACTAACAGAAGTTATTATTAATTAGGTTAATTTTATTTTTTAAGAGGTCACGGCACAAACATCTCACTGGATTTATTTTGCAATGTTATTGTTGAGAAATTTCAAATTAATGTGTTAGAACTTGAGCAAAATTATAATTTTTCATGGAAGTTTTTATAATATTGAGTTATATTTACATACGTTATTTAGATCGCTATTAAAGTACAGAAACAGTGCATTTAATATTTTAATAGTTTAAAATTTAGAGTTTACAATAACCTAATCATATAAAACTATAAATAATATTTCAAATTATTATATTACTTTATTTCTTTATACAAAACAAAATATATTTTAAGTCTTTAAAGCCTCTATTAGCAAAACAATTACCTCATTAAGTACGAAATTAAGTTATTCTTAAAAAAAAGAAACTCGTTTTGTAACTTTTTTTAAAAGTTTTAATTTTTGAATACCAAACTTTGGATTACAGGTACTGCAGACTGATACGTTTTATTTCATTCCTGTGATTCTTGGATAGAAGGAACTAATATTAACTATATATTTTGCAAGGTGGGTTTTAAGCGAATCTCGTTTGCTCAGTGTATATCGACTGAGAATGAAACGCATACTACGACTTTGGACTGTGGTCAAACAATTTCGATAAATAATAAACAACCAGTGTTAAAGTATATTTTTACGATCGTAAACAGCAGTCAAATTCCATCATTCGGTAGCGGTAAACAAACTCTTAACGACTAGTTGTCCGTTATGATATTTAAGTGTGTGACGATTAACAAACTCGCAAATTGCAGGATAGATGCAAAAAGGACTGGCAAGTATGAGATCTTAAAAGCTTTTTTTTTTTTCATGTAAATACGTGTGAAATGTATGGTGTCTCTTGTTCTTGTTCCTAAATTAAATTTTATTAACGTACTTGCGGTGTATTTTTTTTTAACACGACGTTCTATTGCGTCAGTTATATTCATTAAATCGCTCTTCAATATATCATCACTTGAATTGCGTTTCAAATTATTCTTTCAAAATATTCTTTAATTTTTAATTGATTGCAATTTAAAACGATCGTGTAAATTATCATTTTTACAGCACACAATTCAACAATTTAATATACAAAACTAATTTGATAAATTTTTTACTTACTATATTATGTGTACTTATTTTGTCATATTCATCTAAAGAACTATAAATGTAAAGTTTTAATTTTTTATGAAAAAATTAAGTTAGACTAGAAGTAAAATGTATTGCATATAATACATGAATGTATTGCATTCATTAAAACTATAATTAAATATATTTAAACATTGCAAATTATAAAGTCAACTTGAAAACTACCTTTCAAGAATTTGAAAAACATAAAACTTAAAATAGAGCTAAAATGAATAATACTTATCTATTTTTTTTCATCATATAAATCAACTAAATTAAATTTTTTCTGTACTTTCATATTTTTCTTGTTCGTTAATTTTATAAATCATTTTACATCGTTTAATTTGGTGTAAATATAAATAATTAACCTGTTTTATTTGTGAAGGTATTTGAATGTTGAGTTATGTATAAAGTCATATACCTAAAAAAAATATATTATTATATATTCTCAGTTTATTTTTAGATTATAATCAGAGTAATGAATGAATTGATTTTACAATGATATTTTCTCTTGAGTCATGCCATGAATTTTATTTATACGCAATGATATTTTCAAAGAAGATATTAGATTGATTCATTTTATACTAGGTATCACATAATATTTATACCATGAATCTATTTACTCTGTTTTACGGTAAGACATTGTTGATTCAAAACTTAAAAGTTAATAATAGTAATATAATATTGTAGAAATATGTATTATTATAATAACTATTTATTGATATAATAAATAAAATATTTACGGAAAAAATTAAATCAACTTACCATAATATTAATAGTAAAATAAATATTTAAGTAAGAATATCAAAAAACACATGAAAACAATAAACCTATTTACCTAGTAATATAGGTTAACTAATGTCTCCGCTCATATTCGTTTTTCGTATACAATGATAAAGTAATAAAAAACACTTTGATTACTTATTTCAAATATATTTAAATTGTAAGTATTTGATTGTATAAAAAAAAATTTCAATAATTTTACTTAAGTAGGTACTTTACAATTGATAATACTTATACAAATGAATAATGATATATTTTATTGCAGGTTTAATAAAGTATAACGTCTTCATTTTTTAAATTTTTAAAAAAAAATATTAAATAGTTTCATCTAACAAAATATAATTATTAATGATGAGAACTATTTTGTTTTACACATCTCTCTTGATAATGGATCATTTTTAATCAAGACCAAAATTTGTGTCACCAAATTATACAAAGTTCAATTTAATAATTTTTTTTTTTTTAATTTAGAAATTAGAATTATTTCATTCCAGGTCGGATAAATTATAAGCATATGGTTACAATGATATGTTCTTAGTTATTGTTTTATGTAATCCATAAAATCAAATTTTATTACATTATTATATAGGTTACTAAAATCTGTTATATACAATAATATAATATATGCAATGAAGTGAATTAAAAACGTATACCTACTGATTATTATTTCACTTAGTAATTTATTTTCTAACACCCATGAAATAGTTAATTAAGTACTTTCAATAATTATTCATTTCATTTTTAGAATCATTAAAATATTAAAAGTATTAAAATGAAATCTAAATGGCTCATGAAATTAAAATACTTTGCACAGTCTGCTTTATAATGAAGTATTTTTACCTGAGAGAAAATAATGTATAATGTGTCCAAATTTAGTAAGATTCCAATTTCTCACTTAAATGGAGTGTATGTGTGTGTGTGTGTGTGTAAACGATGTGTTGTAAACGCACCTAAACTCGATACCACAGATATATTATATGTTACAGTATATCTGTTCTCGATACTTATACTATAGAAACGTTTGAATATTAGATGTCCGTCTGCTATATCCAGTGAGGTTCTAAGTTCATTGTTGTACGCATACTACCATGGTTATAAGTCGGTAACCGCTGTCTATTTTTCGACCGCGGCATTTTCTGTTATCGGTTAGTGTCTTTGAAAAGACATATTTTCCATGTCCGCAGAACTGTCTGATTTATAACCGTGTGTTTTTGCGTAGTCATGAGTGGCGTGTTTTAATGTTATTTTAGTTGTAGTACAGTGCGTATATTATTGATTGCGAAAAGCCATCAACCCGTTCAGATGAAAAATGTTCCGAGAATTGTCAATGCGTTTGGAAAAAGTAAGATACCTAGACCTAACAAAACATTGTTCACGATTTTCTTGTTGTAGGCACAGCTGGTATTTTATACTAAGTCTTTACAATCAATTATAATTATAATGTTTTATAATTTATAACTTATTATAGTTACTACTTATTAGTCATAATTATAAAACTAGCTTAGGTATAGATAATAATACTATGTAGATTCGTAAAATATGAATACAATTTGGTAAAATAATAATTTATAGTCGTATAAGGTTTGTTTCTGCCAAAATAGGTACCAAACTACCAATATAGTTGTGTACATTGTTTCGATACAGCGACGCAACGATGAGTATTCTTTGAAAACCACTATCGGTCTATGTGTGGTTTTTCGTATTCGATATGTTATTTCATATTTACTACGAATTATAATAATTA